AAAAATTGGCTTGGCAGCTGTAGCACAGTGGTTACGGCACTAGCCACATACACTGAGGTCGGTGGGTTCGAACCCAGCCTGGGACAGCTAAACAATTACAACTGTGACAAAAAATAGCTGAGTGTTGTGGTGGGCATCTGTAGTCCCAGCTTCTTGGAAGGGTGAGGCAAGAGAATAGCTTAAGCCCAAGAGTTTGAGGTTGCTGTGAGCTATTGACGTCACAGCATTCTACTGAGGGTGACAGTGTGAGACTCTGTCTCAAAAAACAAAATGAAACAAAACGAAACGAAAAGAAAAGAAAAATTAGCCTGGAATTGTGGCGGGCACCTGTATTCTCAGCTGTTCAGGAGGCTGAGGCAGGAGGATCCCATGAGCCCAGGAGTTTGAGGTTGTTGTGAGCTATTATGATGCCACTGTACTCTAGCCTAGTGCAACAGAGTGAGACTGTGTCTCAAATTAAAAACAAAATGAACTAATGTTTGCAGAGAAGCTCCCCATCTTGTCTCCCATAAACCTGTAAATATTCTAAATCTCATTCACAGTCATAATATTGTTACTCATAATCATAAATAACAACTATATCCATGAATGCTTTACACATATTAACTCATCTAACCCTCACAGCAGCCTGATGAAGCAGCTGCTAACAGTAGCTTTTTCTTTTTCTTTTGCCACACCCTGACTCTCTGAGGCTTCACTCTCTGGAGGAGTTGGCTCAGGACAGATCTGAGTGTGCAGAAGGCAGGATTGCCTGTGTGACCATGGCCAGGTCACTTCATCTCTGGGCCTGGGGTTTGCTTCTCTGTAAAATGATGGTTAAACCCTCCCAGAAGCTGATGAGGCTGAAAGGATTCAAGAGCACAGGGCCCCAGAGGCACCTGGAGTGGTGCTTGGCATGCAATGCCACATTAGCTGCCATTGTTCTATTATACATGAATACACCGTTTCAGCAGAGGCCAGACACACCTGGATCACTGGTGTCGGAGAGGCCATGTGACTCCACAGGGGGCTACACCTACTTCCAGAACAAGTCTGGCTCCTTGCAACATCTCATCTCACTGGCCTTTCTGGTTTACCTACCCGACCCGGACCTGCAGGCACTGGGAACACTTTGATATAAAGGGCCCCCCAACCATGGAACAAGGTGGCCTCCTCCAAAGTAAGAACTAAGCTATGAGCAGCAGCTCAGGCCTCTCATCCTAACACTCTGGGAAGCCAAAGGGGGTGGATTGCTGAGCTCAGCAGTTCAAGACCAGCCTGAGCAAGAGCGAAACCCTTCTCTATTAATTGGTTAGGCAGCGCCTGTGGCTCAGGTGGGTAGGGCACTGGCATATACCAAGGGTGGCAGGTTCAAACTGGCCCTAGCCAAACTGCAACAAAAAAATAGCCGGGTGTTGTGGCGGGCACCTGTAGTCCCAGCTATTCAGGAGGCTGAGGGTGTATGTGGTTGGTGCTATAACCACTGTGCTGTGGGAGCTTAACCATTTGCTTGTTTGAGACAGAGTTTCACTCTGTCAGCCTGGGTAGAGTGCCATGGTGTCATAGTCACAGCAATCTCAAATTCTTGGGCTCAAGCCATCCTCCTGCCTCAGCCTCCTGAGTAGCAGGAAATATGGGTACTCATCACAACACCTGACCAGATTTTTGTATTTTTAGTAAAGATGGGTCTTGTTCTTGCTGAGGCTGGTTTAGAATTTCTGAGCTAAAGCAATCCACCTGCCTCAGCCTCCCAGAATGTTAGGATTACAGGCATGAGCCACCCCACCCAACCTGAGAAGATACATTTTTGTCAGGTGTCAAAAGTACTAGAAGAAAATTAAAGGTTGGAAGTAGAATGGTATGTTTGTGTGTATGTGCAGTGAGGACTGTTGTTGTGTCAAAATGACCCTGTCACTGAGGTGACATGGAATAAAAATACCCGAGGAGGCGAAGGAAGGAGGGACCCAGGGAGGATATCTGGGGGAAAAGAGTTCAAAATATCAGGAAATGGGCAGTGCAAAGGCCCTGGGGGAGGAACTCACCTACTCTATGCAAGGACCATGGAGAAGGCCAGTGCGGCTGGAGCAGGAGGAGGAACAGAGAATGGGAGGACAGCCAAGGTCAGGGAGTCATGAAGGGAGATTGTGAGGGGCCTCGTGAGATGGAGCCAGTGGAAGATTCTAAGCAAAACCATTCTTCACTTTCCTCCTTCTAGAGTCAGTCATTTTCATCCTTTTGCCTGTGCCCTGAACAACTGAACGATACTATCCGACAAAC